AAAAAAAAAAAAAAAAAAAAAAAAAAAAAAAAAAAAAAAAAAAAAAAAAAAGAAAAAAAGAAAGAAAAAAAAAAAGGAGGGAGGGAGGGAGGAAGGGAGGGAAGGAGGACGAACTACTAAAACATTATACATAAATATTTCATTTTTAACTTCCCTGGCTGATGTACAATATTTATAAACATTTAATTTTGTTGTGTATTTCTGATTTCAGTAGTCAGTTCTTTTTCCCCTTAAAACTGATACTATAAATATTTACATTTGCCTTGCTGCATAATATGTAGTATGTATGGAAGCCATTTTTGCTAAATTTGGTTAAACTTCTGTTGTTCTCATATTTTTCATGTGTAATAATGTGATTTACACTTTTGCTCCTGATTATTTGAGGGCAAGGGTAGAAATGGAATTCATGGGCAGGTAGTATGGAAAAATCACCTCTCTGAGTAGACATGTGGGGTTGAGACAAGCTTGTCCTACAACACTGATGTGACTCCATCTGGACAGGGAACTTAATATGAGAGAGTTTGGCTAGGTTGGAGCAACACACTTAATCAGCTATAGTCAGCTATAACATTTGCACATCATGCTAAAAGTAGTTGGTTTGACCTCTGTTAGTTGGTGGCTGGGCAGCTTAGCCTGTTATAAGCAATCAAGCCAGTTGATTACTGTAGTTTATGGTTCATGAAGAAGTGCAGGACATGGGTTAATTCAATATCTAAATTAATTGTGTTAACACAACTGATGTACCTTCTCTTGTGAGGAAGTGATTCTTGTGTGATGAACTGCCAAATTTTGGGCATGCAACAATTCACCTAGTGCTTTTTGTGCCATAGAAATCAGTTTGATCTGACTTGCAGGCTGGCTGGCTAATAGACATGCCGATCAGTTGCCGAGGACAGATGTCCATGAGAAGATGAAGGAGGCATTCATGAAGGAAATGAAAGCAGAAAGCATCAAGCAAATTCTTTAGTAAGCTAAACTGGATTGTATGCTAGTTTTTCCAAAGGTTTAGGAAGCATATGTCAATGAGATAGAGAGAGAAATGGCCATTTTAACACACACACACACACACACACACACACGCCTTCCCCAGCCTTGTTCTGGGATGATGGGAGTCTGGAAGACACATCTGGAAGGGAGCAAGCTGGGGCAGGCTAGAAGCCAATGTATGACAATCAACTTTCCAAAATCAGAGCTTGGTTGTGCAAATTGTCCCCCTAGACCAATGTTTCTCAACGTTGGGAACTTGAAGATGTCTGGACTTCAACTCCCAGAATTCTCCAGCCAGAATGGGAAACTCAAGATGGCAGTAGGGAGCAGGTGCCCAGCTCAAGGCTCCCAGCCATGAACAGCACTGGGGTATGGGGTGAATGGTGTGCAAGTGAAGAGAACCTCCAACATTACCTCCGTCCTTAGCCAAGGACGTTGTCAGAGATGACAGCTGGACCAGTTGAGTCGAGAGGGACTGTGGAGCTGCAAGGGTTCCAAAGGGAGCTGGGGGTTGTTCCTGAGGCCTTGCTGCATGGTCCAGCAGAGGCCCTGGCCACAGCCTGGAATAAGGAGTGGTCAGGGCCTTGGACAGGATCATGCCTGTGTGTCTTCTCTTGGTCCATCACTCCCAGCACTCTCCATGGTTATTCCTGTTAAGGGTGCTGAAAAAGGCCAAGAGATGTCCAGACCACCACTTGCAGAAAACTAAGGACGAGTCTGACCGAACATGGGTTAGAGCCGTTATTAAGGCCTACCTCATGGCAGTAAGGGCAGCGAAATGCCATTATTTCTCTGCTCTTATTGCATCCGCAGAGTGTCATCTGGCGGCCCTGGTCCCTCCTGGGTAAGGAGGGTTCAGAGGACCATCTACAGGGCCACACAGAGGAATTTGCTGAACACCTGATGGATAAAATCTCTTGGATCTGTTCCAGGTTGGAGGCTAGGTATGATGCAGGTCTGGTGGAGATGCCCAGGGAGCAGACTTACCTGGTTATCTGGGAATATGAATCTGATCCTGTTAGACCTGAGGAAGTGGACAGGGTCCTTGGGGCTTCTAGTGCAGCTACCTGTGCATTAGATCCTTGTCCCTCTTGGCTGGTTAAAGCCACCAGGCAGGTGACATTGGGGTGGGTAGTAGTGGTGGTCAATTCATTCTTGCAAGAGGAGGTGTTCCTGACGCCTTTTAAAGAGGCCCTGGCCTCCCCCCTCCTCAAGAAACTATCGCTGGATCCCACCCTTTTGGATAATTTTTGTTCAGTTTCTCACCTTCCCATTTTAGCTGTCGTAGAGAAGGCATTTGGTACCTTCCTTATGGTCACATGACAGCTTCAGAGGACCCTGAAGGAAATGGATTACCTGGACCCCTTTCAGTCAGGTTTCAGGCCAGGTTTTGGAACAGAAACAGCATTGTCACACTTTTAGATGATCTCTGGCAAGAGCGGGATGAGGATAGTGCGTCCATCCTTGCTCTTCTTGACCTCTCAGCAGCTTTCAATACCCCATGGTATTCTTTTGGGTCGGCTGTTGGAGTTGGGGCTGGGTGGCACACTTTTGTGTTGGTTCAGCTCTTTCCTTCAAGGCTGATACCAATCGGTGCTAATAGGGAGTGAGAGGTCCAGCCCACGGCCCCTACTTTGTGGGGTTCAGTGCTCTTGCCACTCCTCTTTAACAACTACATGAAACTGTTGGATGACATCATCCGGCAACATGGGATGAGGTATCTTCAGTATGCTGATGATACTCAACTATATATCTCCATCCCAGGTGACCTAAGTGACACTGTGGCTACCCTTTTGCAGTGCCTGGCGGCTGTAGGGGCCTGGATGGGAGACCACAGGTTTCAACTGAACCCTGGTAAGATGGAATGGCCATGGGTACAGGGAGTCGCAAGATCCAGGAGCTTATCATTCTTAGTTCTGGGTGGGGTTGCACTACCCCAGTCAGACCCGGTAAGTAATCTGGGGGTCCTCCTAGACTCACAACTCCTGTTCGAAGAGCAGGAGGTGGTCATGGCTAGGAGGGCCTTCGCACAACTTTGTGTTGTGTGTCAGTAATGCCCCTTCCTGGATCAGGAGGCCCTCCGCATGGTCACTCATGCCCTGGTCACCTCCCGGTTGGATTACTGTAATGTGCTCTACGTGGGGCTACCCTTGAAGAGTATTCAGAAGCTACAGCTGGCACAAAATGCAGTGGTGTGAACAGCTTTGAATGCCCCTAAGGCGACACATATAACAACTCTGTTACGTGAGCTGCATTGGTTGCCAGTTTGCTTCCGGGTCCAATTCAAGGTGCTGGTTATCACCTTTAAAGCTCTTCATGGCACAAGACCAGGTTATCTGAGGAACCCTCTCGCCCCGGTTATATCAGCCTGCCCCACTTGGACTGGCAGAAGGCGCATGTTGAGGACCCCACCAGTCAAGGAATTCTGGCTAGTGGGGTCATGGAAGAGGGCCTTTTCTGCTTTGGCCCCCGCCCTGTGGAACAGCTTGCCACCTGAGGTGCGGGCTGCCCCCACTCTCCTGGCCTTCCAAAAAGGTGTGAAAACATGGCTATGCCAGATGGCCTGAGTGGCTGAGGGGGCTTGCATTGCTGGAACTGGCTGGTGGGAAGATTGATACTGCTCCCCCCGTCATCTTGAATTGTATACTGGCTTTTATAGAATTGTTACTTGTGATTTTAACTGTGGATATTTATATTTTTATTGTTTTTATTGTCTTAATTGTAAGCCGCCCAGAGTCACCGTCTGAGAGTGATGGGTGGCATATAAATTTAATAATCAATCAATCCATCCATCAATCAATCAATCTTCAAGTTGCCAAGGTTGAGAAACACTGCCCTAGACAGATCCTTCCTTCCTTCCTTCCTTCCTTCCTTCCTTCCTTCCTTCCTTCCTTCCTTCCTTCCTCCCTCCCT